TGCTAAATTAAGGCCAGTCATCATGACTTCATATCCATCTATATTATTGGAGGAGAAGAGCTCAAAACGAAGCTCATATTTGAAAATTTTTTGGTTTGGGCTAATGAGAACTATCCCATCCCCACTTCGTTAATATTAGAGGCTCCATTTAAAAAAAAAAAGTTCCATCCTTAAAATGAGAGTATTTCCTTTGGTGTTTTATCTTCCATTGCTCTTAATTATTCCATGATAGGTTTGTTAAAGGAGTATTTGATAATGAAATTTGTTAGAACTTGAGCTTTGATAATTGGTTAGGGTTGATACTAGATTCCAAACTCCTTGAGTTTAATGGCCAATCGGACTAAGCATCTTAACTCATTGGGCTTATTGAGTTTTACTAGAGAGTCCGGTCATTTAGGACCATGATTAGGTGAGTTTGGAAATACGACCTTAATTTCCTAAAGGTGTTGATAGAGCAAATACTAGTTTTTCTACTTTTAAATATCTAATTTCTACATCTAGAGAGTTTTGCTAGTATAGTATATTGGTCATTCTATCCCTTTCTCTTACCATATTAAGGAGACATTGATTTCTTTATCTATATCTCGTAGGTATAGGAATAAGGTTATCCTTTTCTAGAGTTGCGAAAAAACTTTCAAAGAAAAAATTAATACTTTTAACTCTTTAAATTTTTTTTCACACTCGCAGTGTGCTTTGAAAGTTATTGATGCCTTTAAAGGTAGTAAATAAGGGAAGGCATCTTTCTTCCAACTTAATGATGAAGCAATTAAGGTTAGCTATCGAGCTGGTTAACTTTTATACTTCTTTCATAAATGTAAGTAATGGCACGCTTAGGATGACATCTACTTTTTTTGAATTAGGTTTATGCCTTTACTAAGGATGAAGAAACTTAGGAATTTTCCTTTTTTTAATGGAAAGACACACTTGGCGAGATGGAGCTTCATTTGGTGTATATAGAGGACATAAAAAACTTTCTAAAGATCTTAAAAGTACTTTTTAAAGCCATACTTTTAACTAGTATGTCATCAATATAAGCTTTTATATTCTTACCTAATTGCCTCCCAAAGACTTTGTCTACCTTCCTCTTATAGGTGGCACGTACATTATGTAAACCAAAACGCATAGCCTTATAGTAGTGAGTTTCGCATTTCTACTTAAGAAAGCTTTTTCCTTATCATTTATATGTATCCAAATTTGGTGGTATTTAGAATTGGCATCCAAAGAGCTTAATAATAGGAAACATGTGGTGGATTTAACCACTTTATTTATTTTCAAATGAGGAAAGTTATCTTTGGAGTAAGCCTTATTGAGGTTTATGAAGTTCATGCACATTCTTCACTTTTGATTTAATATCTTAACCATTACAACATTTACTAACTAGTCCGAGACTAATATTCAATCTATATGATGCTAAGTTTGGGTTGATCCTTAGCATGTCGACTGGATAGAAGGTAAAGTTATTGGCTTAGGATTAAAGAAGCTCAATTAGTTTTTTCCTAAGTGTCAAGGTAGAGCCAATTTTGTTCAAGGAGTATGAGACTCTTTTTAGTATTTCTTTATGCATTTCTTCAGCTATTTTTGTGGGTTTTTCTTTTTCTTTTAAGGACTTGTTTTTGATCTTCAATTGCCATGGTCTTTTTCCCTCTTGATTAGGAAGAGGCACATTCATAGGCTACTATTTGGTTGCTTCGGACTATGAAAATTTCATGAAGAGGTATTTTATGTTGACGGCTACACTTATTACATATAGCAAAGGTCTTTTGATCATGATATTATAGGTAAGATCTAATTTGGATTACATAAAATTTTGTTGATGGGTCGAGCATATTGGGCGAGTTTCTATTATCACGAGCACATTGATGGCTCCCTCAACTAGTATTCCTTTTTATTTTAATCTTATTAAAGAGGCTTATACTGGTCATATTTATAAAATGATAATTTTCATTAGGTTGAAAACCTTTTTTGACAAGATGTTGATGTTGTTGCTAAAGGTTATAAGGATATGATAGATCTTGTGATTGAAAATTATTATTGAAATTATCAAGACATCCTTATAGAGGAGAATGACCCCTTTTGTATCTTTAAGGGTAAAAGCTATCGACAAGTTCTAGGAGATAGTCCTTTTGAATGTGGCTAGGATCTCGTGGACTATATGTAATTTCACCTTAGAGGTGATCTATTTCTTCAATGACTTCTTTCATGACAACATTCACCTTTAAGATTGGGTTATGGCATCTTACGAGTTTTGTGACCCTAGGTTTGTTGCTTTAGTTTTAGCCATAAATTATTTGAGATAGCCTTTGGTGATAAGTCATTCTATCTTTTTTCTTAAGGCAGAGTAGTTTTTTGTCTCATGTCCCTAGTCTTTATGGAAAAGATAATACTTTTTTAGTTTATGCTACCGAAAAAAGCTTGTCATTTGAGAAGGGTGAGCGATATTGTCTTTACCTTAAATCATAGTGTACACTTATGCTTAAATGGTGTTTAGGGGGGTGCTTCAAAAATTATAGCCAAATGAATAATTTTTATAGGGAGAGAACTGGATAGGTTCATCTTTCTTAACCTTTTTCTTATCGAGTTCTCTAGGATAAGGTGCAAGATGCCCTAAGAATCTCGACCTTCCTATATTCGGATGTGACGTTCCATTACATTTTTCACTCAAGATAGATCTTGATTTTAGAGGTTATAGTTTCTTTCCATAATTTCATATTTTGAACTCCCTCAATAAAGGCCTCCACAACCATAAGCTCTAAGTGTTGATCTATCATCAACATCTCCTCATGGAATCTTAAGTGGTACGCCCTAATGCTTTCCTCTTCATTTTAAGAAATGAGGTAGAGGTTTAAAAGATATTTTCCAAGTAGGGATGTTTGTGGAGAATTGAGACACGAGTTTGGAGCATAAATCTTCTAAGCTAACTATCGAGTGATGGTCTAAGCTATCGTACCACTTTTATGTGGTTCTCCTTAAAGTGGTGGAAATGATTTTGCACATGGAAAGGTTTGGAGATCTTGATCAAACTCAAGTCATCTATTCGGGTAGTTACTAGTTCTACCTTGTCGAGCCTTGTTTAGGTTCGGAATCGACATAGATTATTGAAAGTACATATCTTTTTTATGGACTTTTTTCCAATGATGTTTTTGTCGTTCTTTTGTAGGGCTTTGGTATCTCTATCTTTTTTTTTTTTTCCTTATTCATAGACTTTCTCAATATGTCATTTCTTATGAGGAAGGGATGACTTAGTGACAAGTGAGAGTATTGTCGATGCTCTTTTCTTTTATCCTCTACTTTATGAAGTCTCTCCTCTATGTCTCTAAAGGACAATTGTTAATGCTTATTAGGAGGGAGAGATACGGGACTTAGCAGAATTTCTTCTAATGTTAGTAGATATATTGTCAATGTTCTCAACTCCTTTAGTTTTATGACCAAACGTCTCTTTCATGGTTGGATAATCAATGGCAAATACCTAGAACAAGTCCTACTCTAGTGTTTAAAGGATTTTTAAAAGATTTTTAGATGACTAAATTAACATGCAGAAAGAGACGTTTGGTCTGAATATATTTAATAATATTTAATTCTTAGTTAGGAGAAAAAAATATAAAATTATATCAGTTTTTGAGTTTAAAGAGCAGAACTTATATAGAGTCTTAATTTTTATATTTTAGGGGGATTTGTCATTAATGTAGGCTCAATAGTGTTGGAATGACCGGTGGCCCCTTGGTAATTATTTCTGATGAGACTGATACTGTTGGGGAAGAAATACGTTCATTTAGTGAGGTGATGGTTAACAATAACTGGTATTGAGCGGATATAAAATGATTCTGAGTCAAGTTGTTCAGATATTTCCAATTTAATAAGGGATCCCCTGTACTGGATTGTGTATGGTTAAGAGGTTGGGCCTCTTCTCCTAAAACACTGTTTATACGACGATCCTTTATTTTCTTTTGACATGTCATAAAACTATTGATCCATAATGTATAATGCATAAGATTGATTACCCTAAGTCTCTGTGATATTACAGCTGGGCTTTACAACTCTTGCTTGTTGCTTTCGTTACTAATTAATTAATTTTACAAAACTAAAGGACTAATTTATAATTTACTCCAACATAAAATTACTTTGAAATAAAAGGAGAAAAAGGGTTTGGCTTTCTAATGGCAACTTGGTTCCCTTTCACTCATATATTACTACAAATTATTATTATTATTATTTAAAAAATTTTAAATTAATCCCACCATTACTAAATCACAAAAATTTCATATTGATCAAGATTATTAATATACGATGCCTTTGGTTTAAAAATATTTTTAATTTGTTTAGTTCTTGCTTTTTGAAAGTTTGATTACAAAGACTTAAAAGGCTTACTTTAAATTATGAATTGCCCATAAATATTTTTTTATTTATTTCATTTAAGTCTCTAAACTATTTCAGTTGGTTAATATTATCATATTAATTTATTGAATATGCATGTAGGTACATAATGAAATAAATGCACCCCTGAACTTAAATGAAATAAATTGGTAGATCAGCATTTTTTATGGTCAAATTGGTCAAATTTTCTCCGAATTCAAAATCATTTAACATCATAATTTAAATACCCCATTTAATTTTTTTTTTCGGTTTTTAATAAAAAAAAATAGTAACCTAAATACATTTTCTTCTTTGTCTAAATGAAACACTAGCAGCCTTAAAAAAAAAAAAAAAAAGAATCTCTTATTTGTTGTTTTTTTATATTTAAAATATAAAAATTTTCAATGGAGAATTAAGATTAATATGATATTACATTTTCAAGTTATTTTTTTTTATTTTCACAACATAAAATTAATTATATTAAAATATCAATTAGGCTGAAGAACATTGAAGTTGACAATATTTAAGTTGACAATATTTAAGTCCTTCAGCAGTTTTATATGCAAAATATGGATGGAATTATGGAAAAAGTAATAGAAGGATTTGTACTCTTAATTTCAGTTTTATCATACATTTTTTATATCGTTAAGTTACTCTGTAGATGATTCAAACCTGTTTTTACTTGGCCATGGAATCTCATAATCCCATTTTTTGTCTTTCTCATCAAATGCATACAGGCCATATACACCAACTCCCCACATACAATTTTGGTAACAGTTTCGTCTCCTAATCTTTTGCTTGTTGTCATACACCACAAAACGCCCTCTTCTTGGTTGTCCTTGGTCGCTGAACTCCAAGTCACATTCAAACTTCGTCTTTCCAAAAAGGATTTTATCGTAAAATTTCCATTTGAATCCCTCTTTGTTTTTTACAATGCGTGTTCCCAGTGAATTGTCTTCGGACCAGCAACGAGCCATTAAAATTTCACCATTCTCCAACCAGTTTATAATGTGTAAATTTCTTTGGCCGAAGTAAAATCCCCGAGTTGGTTTACATGTTGGTATCAGGATTGCTATTGCAAGAAGAGTTGCATGGACAGAACTCATCTTGATTCGGTACATCTTATAACTTGGGATGTTCTGCTGCTGCCGCTGCTGTTGTCAGTGATTTTGATTGTTGGAACAACTGGTTTAAAATAAAAGGTAGATAAGAACACAGAGAGTTTTTGTCTTTACAAATAAGACACATTTGTCTGTGCAACTATTTTGAGTGAGAGTTTTGTACATCACATATGGAGATTTGAATGCAGGGTCTAAATTTAATTAAATTCCAGGTGCTTCATGATGTATATGCATTTAACATCTATTATGTCAAATCCCGTGGAATAGAATTTAATTCCATCACATGCAATTTATGGTAGGAACAAAAATTCCATGAAAAGGCAAGCGGAAAATCCCCTGGAATAGCATTTCTATCAAAATCCAATTTATAATAGGAAGAAAAATCTCATGTGGGCATTAGATTCGTACCTCTTTATTATTGTACTTTAGATCAGCTGGCAAGCAATCTTACGAGTTCATCAATTCTGAAATTTTCGATATTCAAGGATTTAATCACCATCAATATTAATTGATTCCGAAGGGCTAATTGAAAAAAATGAATGACAACATATAGAAAATCAAGAACACGGAAAGAAAAAGAACTAACTAAAATATATATGAATGATTAAGTTAAGAAAAAGAACAAGAACAAAATGATAATGTGCATATACTATTGTTGCCATTAAAGAACTTGGAATTTTTACCAGGGTGTTTCATGTAATAACAAGACTCAAGCTTCTGTAACCTTCCATCTTAAACCTTGCTTTGATTCAAAAGAGAGAGTAAAATATAAACACTTCATTCCTTTTTTTAAGGAGAATCATCCATTTGAAATGTCATTTTTATAAAATTTATTCATCTCCCTTTTTTAAGTTTTTCCAATTTGTATTTTATGTAACTGATTTCACCACCAGCTCTCAAGGTGCCAGCTTGTCCTGACACTAAAAGCTTGTTGGTATATACCAATTAATATTGGATTAGTAACATCTGAATTTTGACAATAACACTAATCACAGCACGCAATTGATTTTTCTTTAACATTATTAATCACTATTATTACTATTATTATTATTTGGTGGATTTGTCTTTCACTTTTTTTTGTTTCTGAATTAATTAGTCTTAACATTGACCCACTTATCCATATACAGCAGGCCGGTAATTGGGTCGAGCCCATTATTGTAAAATGATATATGTGGTCATTGTTTTAATTAAGGATGACAATTCAATATGTCTCGTCCCGTCCTCTTTGGGAAGGGGATGGGGAGTAAAATTTTGCCTCTAACAAGATACTTAGTAGAGATGAGGTTTTTGAGGGGGGGGGGGGGGGGGGGGGTCCCTCCTTGCTCCATCCTTTTGTCTTTAAAAAGAGGTCTTATCCCTTTTAGGATGGGGATGAAAAACGAAATTTCATCCCGAACAAAACACGAGATGAGAATAGGTTTTTTATTTTTTAAGGGCAGGCCAGGGATGCCATCCCTAGTTTTAACTAATTGGCTAGGGTTGGTAGCTGCAAAGGCGGAAGGGGCTCGGTCAAGAAACCTCCATGAGTCACTCTACAACGTGTTACTTGGTCATGGTTTGGCTTTGTCACTTGGGTGACATGCACATTTCTCTATCTTGACGGCCACTCCTCATTAAGTCTTTGCCATTTGTGCCTAGATCTACCTCTTAGACTCACAGCTTGTCATAATAATTGTCATTGCTCTACATTCCTTTCATGCTTTACCTTCATATATAAACCAATTACCGATGCACCACAGATTCCCTCATCACAGAAGTTATTGTCAATGGTCCCTTCTGTATTAATGGTGCTGTCAGTAGTATCTGTTCTAATGATCACCTCTTTTATGATTGCATTAGCTAACAATTTTTTTCAAGATGTTGACATAACTTGGGGAATAAACCATTCAAAGATACTCAACAATGGAGAATTACTCACTCTCTCGCTTGACAAGAACTCCGGCTCAGGATTCCAGTCCAAAATAGAATACCTATTTGGAAAGATCAGTACGGAGCTTAAACTTGTCCCAAGAAATTCTGCTGGCACTGTCACTTCCTACTATGTAAGTCCTAGGCACGCTTTCACGTCACAAGTTAATTTACTTGCAATACCTGTTATATCTTGAAAATATTCATTTCATGATTATTTTTTGGATGCTGTAGCTATCCTCAAAAGGGTCGGCATGGGATGAGATAGACTTTGAATTCTTGGGGAATCTGACTGGTGATCCATACACTGTTCACACAAATGTAATCACCAGAGGCAAAGGTGATAGAGAACAACAATTTCACCTATGGTTCGATCCAACTGTAGATTTCCACAGTTATTCCATCCTCTGGAATCCCCTAGCCATCATGTAAGTACATTCCATGCCGTATGCTTTCCAAATCTTATTTGTTGTTCTGGACCTTTTCTATGTTGTAATGTGTCTTTTTTAGCTTCTTTATTGATGGCACACCCATAAGACAATTCAAGAACTTGGAGTCCGTTGGTGTCCCATTCCCAAAGAGCCAGGCTATGAGGATATACTCTAGTCTCTGGAATGCAGATGATTGGGCTACCAGAGGTGGGCTCATCAAAACAGATTGGAGGAAAGCACCTTTCATTGCATCCTTTAGGAATTTCGATGCCAAAACTTGTATTAGGTCTGCTAGTGTTTCTTCTTGTAACTTTAAGTCTTTATCAGCTTCAAGCCCCAAAAACGATAAATGGTTCCAAGAGAAGTTGAAATGGGTGCAGAAGAACTACATGATATATGATTATTGCACAGACACAAAGCGTTTCCCACAGGGCTTTCCTCCAGAATGTGGTGTTAACTAGCATAGTATCGAGCGAGCATGAGGCTCCAAAAAAATATACTACTATAGTATTAAATCATGAAAGTCAAATTTCCATAATTGCACAATATATGCAAAAGGCAGCACTTTCCATAATTGAGTTTCTTACTTTTGGTTACTCTGAATATTGAAAAATACTTGGATGCGGTTCCTGAGATGGTATCTGTGGTGTTAGACTACGAGCAGTTGTGGCCAAGACTTCAAATTAATTCTCAGCAAAAGTTTTGGACATTTTCTACCATGAAAAAAAAGGACATTTAATTCAACGAGTAAATTATAAATTAGCCTTTCTAGTTTTGAGAAACAAATTAATTAGTCCCTTTGTTTCAAAAACTATTGTTTATTTTTTTAATTAATATTGAAATTGTTTAATTTAATATTATTTTTATTCATAAAATATCTTCTTCTTTTTTCATGAATCTTTCCATATTTTTTTATATTTTTTTCTTTTTTCTATTTCTTAAGAAAAAATCAAAATAAATTTAAAAAAAAAAAGCAAAAATGATTAAATTACAAGTAAATTAAAAAATGATTAAATTACAAGTAAATTTCAAAGCATAAGGACTAAATAATTAATTTTTAAAACGAAAGGGACTAATTAATTTATTTTTCATTTATTTCTCAAAACAAAAAAGACTAATTTATAATTTACTCTTAATTCTACTGAGAGTTAAGTTTTGCTCTTTACTGTGTTAAATTTTAGGGAATGGATCTTAATAAGAACGAGATGGGAAACAAAAGAGAATAATTAATGATAGAGAGAAAAGAACGAAAATTTTTTATTGTTATTATTTTGTTGTTTTTTTTTTTTTTAAAAAATATATAAGAGAGTATCGGTTTTTTTTAGATGTTTTAAGTCTTGAGGTTTCTAGGTTTTTTTTTCCTTTTTTCTTTTAATCTGATTTTTTCAAGTTTTGTTAAGTTTTTGAAATTTAATTTTTCACTTTTGTATGTTTTGAAATTAAGTTTTATTTACCCATTATTTAGTTTTTGTATCTTTAAGTTGTTTTGATTGAATATTTGTATTCTTTTTTTGTATAGATTGAATCTTTTATTGTTTGAATATGGCACATATTACAAATTAGAATGAGGTTTTGATGATAACGTGTTATGTAAGATTACAAATTGACAATGTTATAACGAAAAAAAGAAGGTAATTTAACAAAATCAAAAGCAAAAGAACTCAATATATATATATATATATATATATATATATATATATATATATATATATATATATATATATATATATATGAGATTTGAATGGAAACAATTCAAAAAATACATCGATAAAATAAAATCAAAACCCATAACTTTAACTTATCAATATAAATTTTTTCTCTTTTGCAATGTTAGCTATGTAAGTAATGAATATCTCAACCTAAGTGTGTACGTCCGTAGTATCTCAACTTGAGTGTGTACAAAAATATACTTTTGTTTTTTAGTTTTTCTAGAATTTATATCCTTGAAAAAAAAAAAAAGAAGACCAAACCTAATATCACTCAAACTACATACTAAACTTTTATTGGGCATATACTTAATATCAGATCATAAGCTACAGAAGATAAAGGCACGACAACAACAAATAGATATCAACTGATTGTAAACCAAAAATAGATAATGTTAGTATTTGTTTATTATTACTAGCCGCTTAAGTGATATACATGTATTACCATTCTCCTTGGTACTATCTAATATACTTCATGTAAATCATTCGATTATATATATATATATATATATATATATATATATATATATATATATATATATCTATCGTGCAACAACACTTACACTCGTATATATAAGTGATTATTCAAACACTATAGTGTCACAATTTGGTATCCAAACCTTTTACAAAACCATATAAATCGCCTCGAACGAGTCCAACTTCCTCTCGCATACGGCCAAGTCCCTCTAAACACTACCTCTTCCCAAGATTCATCAACCCATGTCACATATTTGTTTGATGTGCACCACATTATTTCAATGAAATTAACCGCTACCAATTTTCATTTTTTGCACTAAAAAATGCGTGCATTTTTACTAGGCCATGACTTATTTGGTTACATAGATGACACCTAGAAATGTCCCCCCATCCCACACTCTCTTTGATGAAACTAGACTCCTACAAGCAAATCTTCAATATGTCTCTTGGATTCAACAGGATA